TGCAAAAATCGCGGCATGGTAAAGAAGTTACAGATAAGGGCGTAATATTTATGATAATATCATCATATGAAATTATAAATATATAATTAATATACTTTATCATTACTTAGAACTGATATTTAAGGATCAGGTAACTCACAAAAATAATTACACTGTTTTACAGATTAATCTTTCTCAATACTTGCATAGTAATTCTATGTATTTTTAGCTGTTGAAAAAAATATAAGAAAGTCAGGAAAATTCCACCATTCATAGATTTTGAGAAATAAAAGACTTTGTTTTTTAAAAATCTCCAGAAATATAAACAATATTTAAAATTTTTTCGTTTTACTTTACGGGATAAAATACAAATTATCATTCAGGTGTTGAGAAACAGAAATCTTTTAAATCAGTATAACTTTTAGAGACATTAAATATTGCTAATCTTATTATTTTAATATATCACTTAAAATTGTACATAAACAATAAATGAAGCTTCATATCATCACATTAAGTTTTACATATAAAAAGTTTTACATGTAAAAAAAATAGCTATATATTGGGAATTTGCGTTATTAGAATACAAAAAAATTCAAACAGGTTTTAAATATTGAAGGGTGAAATTCTTTGAAAAGCGTATATATTTTTTCTGTATAAAAAATCCAACGAGGAACACTTATTATTTAATGAGAAACAATGTTGACTAATGTTTATTGTTCAGTATCATCAGTATGGAAAGGGCTACATGCTTTTTCGTATAACAGGATAAACACACAAAATAATTAACAATCAAAATAATCGGATAATTTTAATACCAAAGATACAAATGCATCGGGGAAATCAGGGGAGAGGAGAAGAGAGGAAGTTATATACTTACAGGAACGGAATAGTTAACCGCGACACTTCCTCGTCGTAATTATCCGACTTACACAAATTGCGCAAGTTACTTTGCGAACGACAGGATCACGAGATCGATCGATCACGTGTGAAGGAAACTAACAAACTTGTCCCGCCTCTAATGCGATATTCGACTCACGTGATGTGTCGAGCGTGATCGAATGGTGGCTGCGTGACAAGCGTAAGACGAGATTTTTCATGGGTTTCCCTAAGGTTTTCTCATGCTTAAAAATGTTGGACATTGCCATGCTCACGGCGCTCACATGACTTTCAAAGGGAGTCACTGAGAGAGATAAAAAAGTGGAGGAGAGACTAGAACATTTTGGTTCTCTCGCGATCAACAGCGCCGTAAGACAAAGACGTAAAAAACAATATACATGATACGTATATGTACATATATGTATATATACCATCGGTTTGCAAACATGCTTAGTTAGACCAATGACCAATTACCATATTCTCATCCTAGGCCTCAACGGTGGCCTTCTGGTTAAGCATAAGAAAAATACGATGCTTTACTAATGACTGATATGTTAATGACGGGTGCACGAAGTACATTCTACGAGTACTCGCCTGGGAGAGCGTACGTTTATCTTCAATAATCCCATCTCGCATTTTGGATTACATCATAACACTGTAATACCGCGTATGCTTAACACGTTTTGTCTGCCCAGTAGTTTTTGTATAATTTATCGTGTATGCAACAGTAGAATTTTTATTATCATTAAATAATGATAAACTATTGTGTAGTATAATTAAATGAAATTTTATTCTCATGGGTATGTAAATTATGCACATTTTTTTTACTTTGAGTTATTATCCAGCTGTCACTCAAAATTTTAAATTGTGTATAATAATCAAATAAATGCACGAAAAGAAGAAATTTTACTGAAACATTAAAAAATTTAGCTAGATACAAACCTGAAAATAATTTTGTTAGACCATTCAAATAATTATGTAGAAAGTTCAAGTACGATAAGCAACGTTGCAAGAATTTTTAACATTCTAGGGGCTAGCTTAAGCGTCTTACGTAGTTATTTTGAAAATTCAACAAAATTATTTTTAGTATTTAGCTAACTTTTTCAATACTTCAGCAAAACTGTTCTCTCCGTGTGTAAATTGTGCACTTTTTATTTTACTACGTTATCTAGCTATTTATGTCATTCAAAACTTTATGGTTATTGAATAATATTTATTTTTTTACATTTTTAAAATTTTCAATAGCACTTGCAGTGAACATGTTAATATTTTAGAAACTTAGATAATATTCAAACAGTTAATATATTCTTAGAATTATTTTAATGCCAATTCTATTTTAAATGAAGCTTATCGTTGTAAAAAGAAATATTGAAAAAGAGGTCGATTTTTGATCAAAAAGATGTAAAAAAAAATAGTGTTTTTTATAAATTTCTGGATGTAATAAAATTATTAAAAGTATATAAAAATTCGTAGTGCTTTGGGAATATCTAAAAAGTTGAGTACGAATATGGTGTATTTATTCAAATTTTAATGTTCTTATTCAATTTTCAATGTATTTCCCAAACACTACGACTAGCTTTCTAATAACTTTATTGCATCCAGGAAATTAAAATCTCCAGGTATTTAAAAAACACTTTTTTCTACATCTTTTTGAAAAAAAAATTGGCTTTTTCTTAACATCCTCTTTTGAATTAAGTAATTCAAGAGATTTATTCAACCGGGCAGTCAACGCGAGCTATCAAGAAAACTTCGAGCAGCGAGACAGGAAATTAAAGGATTACGTTCGTAAAAAAATTAGGGCTCTTCGACATCTGCTTCTTACTCCTTTCATTATAATACCACGGTGGAGCAGGGCACTTGAAGCCTGCTTGTAGATTCGATGCTTTCTGAGGTTTTCGATATCAAACGACAAGAGACCCGCGAGAAAGCGGGCTTCTGACAATGATTTTTAATTAAAGAAAAGTCGTAGAAAGCGGATTATCCCGGCGAATTTACGCCGGATGACTCTCGAAGAGCGCCCGATTCTTACGGCGAGTTTCGAGTTTCGATGCAAAGCGTTCGAGAGAAAAATCTACAAATATCTGCGCTTCACATTCATTTCACGCTTTTTTGTCTCCTAAATGCTGACGCGACCGTTGCAAAGTGCTGGTTCAAAGTGATACAATCTACATTCTACGAACTTCTTTTACAATTCCAACGCGATTACGTAATGCGTTACGAAAGAAATGATGCATTTTCCTATCAGATGCTTGAATGCAAAGATAAGTAACTTCATAATTCTTCAAGCATGAAGTGTCTAAAATGGATCTCATAAATTATGAATTTTTCTCATTCTTACATTTTTTTCACGAGTAATACTCTTTTAATAAAACAAAGTTAGTAAGAATGTGTAATCGCGTTCCATTTTTTATTACTAACTATTTATCACAAATTATATGAGCTTCCCGACGATTTAAACTAATGTGCAATAGAAATAATTTTGACAACTCCAGTCTTCAATTTTCTTATCAGAATACCATGTACTTGAAAATAAACCTTACAAATTATGAATTTTCCTTATTTCTCTGTCATTTTTAATTTTTTTCTAAATGATATTCTTTTAATAAAGAAAAGTTTTAGTAAAACAGTATAATTGAATTATAATAGTATAATTATTCATCACAAATTATATATGAACTGTACTTCTGCGTAATTTCCCCGTTTTCCTGACGCTTTGAACCAACATGCAATGAAAGTTTGACAGCTCGAGTCTCCGATTTCCCTTCTCGAACACTTCTGCAATAATGGATATACTCGAGCATATGTAAAGCGAAGTATTCTGCGAAGTCGCAGGAGAGCACTAACTTGAACGAGGCATGGAGCTCCTGGCGAAGCGTCAGCGGCCTGTTCTCCTGTGTCGGAGTGTTTTGAGGCGTGCCAGGTCCGCTTCCGGAGCCCCGTTTCTTCAGGACGCTCTTCAGCGGCACGGCATGGAATTTCGGCTCCTTCGCTGGTATCTCCTCGACACGAGACGTATCGATCGCTGGATCAGGCTGCGACATCCTGAAGAGGTACATATTGTCGTCCTCTTCATCCACGTCGCCATCCTCCTCATCTATCGGGGCAAAAACAGCAAGAAAACTTACCATATATAATCAAGAGGATCCGAATCGATGAAACGCAATTACTTCATGTTTCATTTATACACGGAAATCAAATAGTTTTAAGTTTGTACACAATCAAAAAGACCAAGTGTCATGTCATTTATCAAAACTTGAAAAATTCAAGTAAATACACTGCCGGACGTTGAAATTGCAAACATCAAAAGTAGACATTTGATTAGAACGAAATTCTATATCATTATTTACAATGTCAGATTATACTCAATTTGAATATGTCATTTTTAATTAAAACAATGGAGTTAAAATGTTCCCAAGAATTAGGATTTGTATTCAAGCACATGTTTAAATAGTGGCTATACCTAACATTAAATTACAAAATATTTTTATAAAACTGAATACTTTTCAATAAATTGTGCAATAAATGTTTTGAAACCATAATCATTTGTTCACACTGTTTCTCCTAATACACTTATAGATTTTGATCCTAAAATTGGGTTAAATTTTGATATTTCTTTCTTGATGTTGCAATTTCCAACATGTATATCTAAAACAAATTTAGCGATTTGTGTAAGAAATGCATTGTATAAATAAAATAAACAAATAATAATATAAATATAAATAATATAAACATGCAAATGTGTTGATTGCTCTTTTGGATTTATATAATTATGTGTTGGGATTCATTTATGGATATTCAATGACACAATTGTAACGTTCAATAGTTAATAACTAACAATAAGCAGACGTCGTGGTTGCGGGGACAAGTGCATCGACACAACAGAAAATTGCGATTATCAATTAGCACAA